ACTCTCAGGTAGGGTCTTGGTGAGTGCGTGGTTCCTAGACAAGCATTGAATGTAGGGTGTAATCACAGATGCTCATCAGAAATACAAAGTAGCATTACCCAAGATTATTAAAGAGAAATCAGCAGCAGGAAGAATGCAAGATATAAAATACAAGGGAGGAGTTGGGTAAGCTAAAGAAAAATGTGGTTCCATATTACAACGTGAGACTGCCTTCTTCTTCATCGCTATTTAATTTTGGTTCACAGTTGAATTAGTTGCAGCCTTGGAAGCAAACAAAGGTCTGAGTTAAATTACAGAAATAACTCTGTATTAAGGCAAAGTTTTGCCTTTGAAACATGCAAAAGTGTAATATGATAATACAACGGACAACTGTCCACTAGAACTGGAAAATGAATGGGAGATAAAAATCTGACAATTCATGGAAAGACATTGAGGATCTTAACACAAGGATGAGTCCTAGGTACTACAGTTGGAGCTTCTCTGTAAATACAGTGGTCCCAGTTCAGGGTTTACACATCACAGAGACTCTGGTCAAACCCTCAGTGCTGATGACAACACTGGATCTGCTTTCTAAATTTCCAGTATGGTTCAGCAAAGCACTTTTCACCAGTTCCTGAAGAACCATGTGTATATATATACACATCTAAGGAGATATGGTGGCCTGAATTACTGTTCAACATTTAAATATTGACATGCTAATATTTGCTTTCTCCAAGCTTATATTGTCAAGTCATATTCATGTGCCCCCCTTACCCAGGGACCGGGTCCTAAATAAGCACAGGATTGCTTCCTCCTTGACAGTCAGGTGATTATGGACAGCACTGAGCTAAGGTTCTCTCCATGACTGCCTCATACGAACTACCTGGACCAAATAGAAAAGGTGGGATCTCAGTCTCTTCTCTCACCAATGCCTTTCCTCTCAGTTGAATTTTTATGGCTTATGGAAGATTTTCTGATCTTTTTTAAGGGAACATTGTTGGCTTTCCTTTGATATTGCCTTCTGACCGTGCGGACAGAACAGGAGAATTGATATATGGATGCTCTTTGTATCAGTTGGAAAAGCTGGACTTAAACAGGCTCCTAGGGCTGGTTGGGGGCCTGTCACAAACAATCATCTCCTAATCAGCCAGGCTGCTCCGCTGATGCACTCTCAGCTCTTCTGTGCTGGAACAGTCTTCATGGACAACTAACAGGGCACCAGTTTCCAGCTGCCTGGCTGTGCTGCTGCTTTTTCCGCTCCTTTTAGGGGGTGCCATAGAGAATTAATCCAAACATACTTCTCCTTCAGCTCTCAGCAGCATCAATATTTTCTTCTCAGATGAGCTGCTTTCATGGATCTCCTGTGAGACGCTCCCTAATTCAAAGCCTTTGGCTGTTACTCAGTTCAAGATACTAACTGTGCTTGAGATGAAAAACAAGCAAATTTGGCAGTGCAAGATGAAACTAGCATTAGTATGTGCTTCTAGTGAGACATTTTGGCATAGGACATACACAAAAGTTAAATGATCACAATGATAAGCACAATAACAAGAAAGAATTGTTTCTTGCATTTGGCTTAAAGACAAGTGCTATTTAATATTTTCTTCCTTTACACTTTGTTTTGATGATATTTCCCAAATACCTTTAATTTTCAAAATGTAATTCTTTCAGAATTCCTAGACCTAATCTGGAAAACATTTTGTTCTTACTATAATGGAAACAGAACAGCCAGGGTATCACCATACCACTCACTGTGAAGGCACCACTCAGAAAACCATGTGTGTCTCACTCTTTCTTTTTTTTTTCTTGAGACTATTAACGGAAGACTGCATTGAATTTATATACAGATGTTCTGGTTGCAGTAAGAGATAGCAATAATTTAAGATTTAAAAAATGAATGTAAAATTTGTAATGCCACCTTAGGCAGAAAACATTTGCGTCTTTTTTTGCCTCTGACACCGTATCACTATACCCTCATAAACAGCATGGATGTCTTAAATCCATGATGAAAATGTTGGGACGTGATTGCAGTAACAACCTCCACGTGAATGGCTTGAATGCACTCAAACAGATCCCTGAGGTGCAGGTCCTGACTGCTGTTGGGGAGAGGTGACTGGAGCTGAGTTCTGCAGCATACCACTTCCGTTTGAGACATTCTACACAAAGAGGTATCTGACACATTTCACAAAAACAACCCACCAAAATAAAAGTGATTTGGAATTGTGTTCTGAAAGTTCAGTATTCAAGAACAATTTTGAGGCTGCCCTGTGACCACCAGACTGATTAAAAATGCTAATCAGAAGCTTGTATGATTAGGAGATTAGTACTGTCTGAACTTTGATCTGCCTCCTTTGTGTACACAGGAGAGGGAGAGACACACACCATCATGGGTAGCAGATTTCTGTGTGAGGGATTCACAAGAGATCTCTTCATGTTTTTGGGTTTTGTGTTTTGCTTTCAGTTGCTCACAGGGAAGGCCTCAGGGTTTCTATAGTCACTAACTGTTACCTCTAAAACAGACAACTTTTTAACAGCAAGAAAAAGGAAAACAAACTGTGTCTGAAAAAGGCAATATTATAATTGCATTCCTGTTACTAACCATGTGGTTTGGTTTGATCCATGTGATGTTCATAGGACTTGACAGAATTAATGAAAATCCTTCACATGTGAAACTCAGGACCTCTAACAATGGTTCACTTCCATGGTCTTTGTGTAAACATCCCATAGACGCAAATATGAAATACCTGTGAATACCTGTGAATCACGGCCTGTGATCAGGAGTGCCATGGCTTTGAAAATGTCATCAGTATAAAGAATAAGTAAGAGAATAAACATGGTAAATAGAAAAATCACAAGCAATCTCCATCAGCTGCAGCAAGAGACCCAACCATCAGGACAGCTTCTCTGAAGCCATGGCCTTTATCAGTGAAGAATGGTCAGGCATTGGAACAAGCTACCTGGGGAAGTGGTGGAATCACCATCCCTGGAAGTGTTCAAAAAATATGTAGATGGGGGATATGGTTTAGTAGTGAAGGTGTCAGTGCTGGGTTAATGGTTGGACTCGATCCTACAAGTATTTTCCAATCTTAACAATTCTATGATTCTAAGAAGATTATAAACTTAAAGCAAGCGGACACTGAAAAAAACCCAACAAATCTCTGCAATACCCTCCTTCTATTGCTAGACAAAATCTTCATACAGAAAATACAGTCTTATTAAAGCTCTTATTAAACACAGAAGAAGAGGATGGCAGACTGGTGTTCACATTACCACTCTGGGTGGAAGCAGAGGCTTTAGTCCCAGCAAAGAGGTGATGGAAAGCCACGTGAGGAATTAGCTTTCAGGTATTATGACAGCTGACAGGGTATGAAAGTGGCGTCTCTACTGACATGGCCAACCAATACCTTCACTGGAGCTTAAAGGTCTTCAATGAAAAAAAACCCAGTCCACTATAAACAACAGTGCTGATCTAAAGACCTTCATTTGCCTTTATCCAGATTCCAATGCCTCTGTGTCTAACTAGCCTATAAGTTTTTTTGGTCAGGGATGGTTTTCACCATTCTGGGTTCAGAACAGTGAGATTCTGGGTTCAACTGTGAGATTTCTTATATGGCCATGGAGAGAAATAAAGGGACATAATCTGGCTTGTAATCTTCTCTATTACCTTCTTTGTAGTAGGCAAGAGCTTTCAGTGTTATTTTTCCTATCTCAGCAGCTATAAAGGGAATGGAAGAGAGAAGACTGGAGCATGTCTCAGTGCCATTCTTCTAACATGCAGTTGTTTTCCTGCTTTAATGTAAATCAGAAGGTCAAAAGCCCATTAGAGCCTAGGTGCCACTGGAGCCTGAACAGTTAAGACACACAAGTTTCTGTAGCTATGTGCATGCCAGCAACAAGGTTAACACAACTGCTTCTCTTTGGTTCCCCAGTTTGAGTAATGCCTTTTGCACTTGAGACAACTGGCAGTCTTCAGCATGAATCTAAGAGCAATTTCACACGCGGTGTGTACCACAGCATCCTGAGCACTGTGCTGCTGAATCTCACTACAGCAGATAGAATTCACAAGCAAAATTAAAAAACACATTAGAATGATGGGAAAGCAGAGGATTGGTGATATTTTATTTGTGATGATTTGTTTTTGTAGGCAGGATATTTGTATTGTAATTATGACACCATTAGAAACAATGCCAGATATGAAGCACTGTATGTCCTCAAGCACATGAACAAAGATCCAGCGGGAATCACCTGAAAGGCCTCCTGTTGTAAACCAAATGCTGTATGGAAAAGAAGATCAGATGAGTTAATCCTGTTTTGCCTACATGCGCTTCCTCACATGCACAGCATTTCTGGGAGGAATACATGAACTGATGCCTGTGCTGTAGGAGGAAGTTCCCAGAGCTGCTCTCGTTGGCTAACAGTAACCACTTAATTAATGTAAACATCAAATTTTAGTTAAAAAAAGAAGCAAAATCCACTGTGGTACAGTCTGGAACTAACCACCGTTGCACAAAATGGGTCATTAATTTGTCGTCCTGAACACCACATGTTCGTTGTAGTGCAAACTGCTTGCAGAAGCATCATTCTCCCCATGGAAATCCATCTTGAAACGCATCTCCTGGAGACAGCTGGAAGAATCCCGAGCCATCAGTGCCCGACGCCCCCCTCACCACGGCACCCCGGCACTCTCCCTCCAGCCCACTGCCCTCCGACCCGCTCCAGCGGCCGCTCTCCCACCCCAGGCGACCTCAGCCCTGTCCTGGATCCCGGTCCGCACCCCGGCTCCGCGGCACCTGCCGCTGCCCGCTCCCCTCCGCGCACCGATGGCCCCGCCGAGCGCGGCACCGGGAGCGGGTCATTCCTGCACCGTGCAGGGGAAAGGATTAATTTCGCCAGTTATTTCTTCCCCCTCGCTCCGCGGTGGGGGAGGGCACACGCGCGTTGCCATGGGTGCCGGAGGAGCACCCAGAAAGTTGCGGGAGAGGGGCGGGGAGAGGGGGCCGGGCCGCTCGCCGGGGCTGAGTGGCCACTCGGCGCCGCGCTGAGAGCCCGCGGGCGGCTGTGACGCCCACCTGCCGCCTACGGCTGGCGGCAGGGGAGGGAGGGAGGACAGGGATAAACTTCAAACTTGGCCGAGCGGGCGGGCAGGGAGCAGCATGGATGTGTCCGTCGTCCCTCGGTGCTGACTCGCAGCCCGCGGCGCGCTGTGGGGCGGGCGCTGCCCGAGGAGCTTGGCGCGCCGCCGCGCCGCTTCCTCCGCCGCCGGCCATGGTGCGTGTGGGGCGCTGGGCTCAGCCCGGCCCCTGAGCGCGACGCCTCCCCCCGCTCCGCTCCAGGGCTGCCGCCGCTTCCCCGCGCCCCCGCCCGCCGCCACCTGCCTCTCCGCCGCGCCGCTGTCGACCTGAGGCCCTGGGCATCGCCTTCTCTCCGCGCTGCAGCCCGCCCGCTATGGAGCCGCCCGCGGGAAGCTGGCGGGAGTGAGCCCCGCTTTTCCCACCGACCCCGCTGGCCGCCCCCTCGGCGCCCGCGCTCGCTCCGATGGAGCCGGAGGAGACGCCGCTCGCTCCCCCGAAGACCATGCTGCTTATGCTGAGGAAAGTTCGCAAGAGGCGGGAGATGCTGCTGCAGCAGCTGGGCTTCATCTGCGCCATCCTCTTCTTCGCCTGGTGCATGTCCAGCCTGCTCTCCAGAGCGGGTGAGTGGCGGTGGCGGCGGGACCGGCGGACCCCGGCAGGGCCGGGCGGGCGGCTGGGGCGGCCCGGGGGCTGCCGCCGCCCCAGGAGCAGCCGGGGTTTGGCGGGGTCAAGCGGCGGCGGCTCTTCCCGTTTTGAGTCTCCCAGTGCAAATACCCCGGCGGGCGGGGGAGCAGCGCGGGTTCCGCGGGAGAAACCCCTGCGCCGGGCGGAGGCGTGGGGTGGATGTGGATGCCCCGGGGAGAGAGGTGGCTGCGCCGCTGGCGCCTGGGGGTTCAGGGCTCCCCGGCCCCGAGTCCGCCGTGTCTCTCGGGCCATGGACCGAAGGGGCATCACGGGGCAGCTGCGTGCTTGGAACGGCCCTGAGAGAGTTTCTCCCTGCCGCTGCATCAGAGTTGAGTTCTCTCCGGCCGCTTGTGGTCCCCGTTGCAACTTCGGGCCACCTTTCATTTTGTCCTTAGGTTGTAAACCTCCATCAGCTACAACTGCTGCTTTTCTCAATCTCACACGCACACCTAACATCTTGCCCCCCCATTACAGTATGAATTTGACAGAAATTCTGCATTTTAGGCAAGGAACAGTGCTAATCTTATGTTTTGTAGCGAGAGTATTATATAGAGAGTCTTTTGCATCCTTTGTGCAACTACTGTGTTGGTAAACGGATGCATTTATAATTAACCACATGGCTGGGCTGTCAAGTGTGCAGCTTCAGGCCCTCTTCATGCAATATGCTTCACATCACTCAAATACAAAGGCTAAGGTTGCTGGGACAGCACTTGGGTCCCTAGATAGGGCTGCCAGCAGTCCTTGAGGATTTAAGAACAAAATCAACTAAGCCTAGATCTTACGTCTACATTTAATAAAAGAAAATCAGATTTCAGCACAATTAGGATGGGCCATATGCTTAAATTAGAGCTGAAGTTCAAGTGTATGCTTTAGGGAAGAAAAATCTGCTGGAACTTGTTATACTTTGTAATGCCCTTGTGCTCGAATTATTGCCTGATTTGTTTGAGCTGTATCTAGGATGGCAATAAGCCATCCATAAAAGAATTCAGCATCTTAGACCATTTAGCATATTGCTCATCTTAAAACTTTCAACTTGTATTTTAAAATGTGGATTTAGAGTATACTGTTGGTTTCTTTATTTAGAACTGTTTGTCATGCCTATGGGATTTTTTCTCTTGCACCAGCTATTTATTTTCATAAACTTACTGGTTTGTGAAAACAAGTACTGGGGGTATGAATATGTTTGCATAGTTTGAGGGGTTTTTTTCTTGAACTTATTGTTTTTCTAGAACTTTTTTAGGTTTACATGAAAAATGTCATGACTAATGAAAGTTTTTAATCTCCTGGGTTATCAACTAAATCCCTCATAACCTAATTTTTTTATGGTATGCTGCATCAGGTAGTTGGTTTTTTTTCAGCTGGCTAATTTACAATACATATTATCCATAAACACTGACCATCTGTTCTCTATGTTTCTTATAATTGTGGCTCAGAATATTTTAGCAAATACTCTAGAAAATCCAAGTTCCAGGCTAGATTTTTTTTTCTTTGCAAGAGTTACTGTAACAAAACACAACCATTACATGATGACAATGTAAACTTTAAGATCAGCCATGGAAGAATTTTTGTTTATTATAATATGTTCATTTGAAAAGGATAAGATTGAGGTGGAAGTGATTTAATTAAGAGGTTCTGTTCTTTATTTGATTATTTTAATTACATATCTTACATTATCACAAGTGCTCCTGTACTCTATTTAGCAGGTTTCATTGAGAATGCTTCTGGAGTATGAATTGAGGCAAAAGCTCCATTGACTTCTAAAGAAGTTTGTTTTTCTTAAGACTTACGAGGGTTCACTATGCAGTTACTTTCCATTTTCTTTGACAAGTTATGAATGGTTTGATGTTATTGAATATACCCAACACTGAAAAGTTCAGCATCTAGACTCAGAATAAACTAAAATGTAACTGGAACATGCCCATACGCATTTTTATTTTTTTTGTGAAAGCAGTGATGCAGTATATGCAAATGCAGATGGCAAAATGGAAGTGTGGTTATTGCTTATGTCAGCATTGCTGGGCTGTTTCGTCTGTAGGAACTGCTAAGAGTTGGCTTTCACAGGTACAGGCTTCAGCATTTGCTTGCTGCAGAGTATTGTCCTGTTGCGGGTCACAGCCATTCCGATGGCCAGAGCATGTTAACAGCTCAGATACTGCACCTTCATAGCTGGTTACACCCTTGGTAGGTGGGAGCACCCAGCATCCGTCTGTTGGCACGTGCTCCAGTCACACCTCGATTTTGCTGCGCTTACATTCTGATGGTCTGCCCATGCTCCTCACCAGTGGGTGCACACAGTCCAGTTAGGATGACGTACGAAAAATCAGCTTTAATGGGCATAACCTCTTTCTGTTTAATACAGGACGAGAACCAATTGTTGCAGAAAGAGGTACCATATCAGAACTGTGGAGGAATAGAAGGTTGATGGCATCACCTAATGGGACACATGAAGAGAAGAACTGTACAGAGCCAGGTAAGATGGGAAAACTTTGTGATGTTTTGAAATTGGGTAGTGCCATCACGACCAAGCTGCAGTGATGCGTAAACATGAAAGTGTTAAACTTAAAAAAACCCCAGGACTCTTCTGTGAAGAAATAAGGTTTACAGTGCTATGTATTGTTTTGGGGGTCTTTATGAGACTAGCGCTGACAATTTGATTTCTTTAATTTTGTTTCTTTTGGTGCTTATTAATTTCTGTCTAGCTGATGCTGAATGTATTGCACTAGTAATGAGAGGTGTGCTCTTCTTGAAACTATGGGTAGCTAAACATGCTGTGTTTGAGAGACATCTGAGCACACTAATTTGTGTTCATTACCATTATACAGTTAACCATGCTTAGCTAGTTTAATGATAAACTATGTATTCAGTGTAGGAATTTATATTGCGTGAACGGGGAAGATGAGGTAAGTGATATGGAAACCCTGGAATCCATTTTACTTCAGGATATCTATCTTGGCCAGGCAATAAGAATTGATTGAGGGCAGGAATAGATGACGCATTTTAGTATCAGTGTTAGTCCACAATGCTTTCATGTTCCCATCTGTCTTCCCAATGTGTATTTCCTTTCTCTCTCTCCTTGCCTCTCTGTGGTTTACGGTGTGTGGGAGATGAGACATTTTGCCAACGGCGCTAGCCAAGTTAATTTGAAGTTGAGATTTTTTTTTTTTAATATGACTCTTTGATCAACTCTTTGATGGCAATTGAGTCTGTGCCTTCTTGCAAACAGCGACAGCATGAGTTCCAGGATACTGTCAGCCCCAGGCACTAGGAGAGTTCGGAGCAGTACTCCTGCCCCTCACTTAGTATTCTTTCCTACTCCTCTTCTGTTTTCTTCCATATGTCATGTGATATATGTAATCATGTCTGAGCACACCTGGAGCCAAGGCAACAGGAGCCACAAAATTGTAGAAGCTACATCAGAAAGATACCTATGAAAGTTCTGATAGGGATTTCCATTTAGCACGAATGAGAACTGTTTTACGATGATAGCACTGCCAAGGGAAAACATACGATTGTATGTAAATTGGAATTTCGGGAGCAGTGATGACTTCTTCACATGTTTAGAACAAATAGTTCAGCTCCTTCCATTCCTCTAAAATTGCAAGATTAGTGTAAGAGCAATTGGAATAGATAAATACAGTTGAGTCATTTTGAATTGCTTTCTGAGACTCAGGTCACTCAGGTGCACTTTTCTCTGTAACCACAAGAGCTGGGCACAAGGGAGGTCCAAATCTGCCTCAGGATGCTGAAGTTCTAAGAAAAATATCACAAGACTTGCATTAAAGTAATGATTTCTAGTCACAGTGATAATATTAGACTTTCTTTTAAAAAGTGTTTCTTCTGTTAGAATGCAGATTTACAGATCAAACTGACAGGATTGCAACTGTAGCATTTTTAATCACTTCCTGTTATTCTGCAGTTATGTACAGCTTATCACTGTGTATCTTCTGCAGCTGAAGGAGGAATTGAGATGCTGCATGAGTGGCTAGATGTAAGATAGATGCAAATAAAGTAAGCATCTGAAAATAGCTGAAGTTGATGTTTGTTGAACAGGAATGGGTCCATAAGAACCTATTATCGTTATTGCTCAGTAACAAGTTCTGTAGATTTGGGCTGGGTTGTTTGTTTTGTTTTGATTTTTTTTTTTTTTGGTGGATTGGTTGATGTTGGTTTGTTTGTTTTTTTTTTTTTTGTCGTCGTTTTGTTTTGGTTTTTTTTTAATTTTTTCATTCTTGTCTCGTAGCCTGGGAATGAGATTTGGCTTGTAATGACAAGAAGGTACAATGATGTAAAACCTATCAAAAAAGGAGCCAGTAGCATAGCTCATCTCTATGGGAATGTAGCTTGTAATCACATGATTACAGAGAGAGAAGTCCCAGGAAAGGTCAAGAGACTTGATGAAGATTGCATAGAAAATTGGTGAGAGTGTGGATTTTCAGTTAGTATATGAATACACCATTCTCTATAGGCTCCTTTATGACATGTTCTTATTCTTACCTATGCCATCTCTTGTGTCTGTTTTAAGCACAAGGGACCCTACAAATGCTTGGGAGTTTGTATGGTATATAGCAGTTTTCTTATGTTATGTGAATGTTTTCCTATGTGTGTTTAGGGTATAAGAACTTCATAGTACTCTGGAAAATGCAAGTTCTTGCTGAGAGTCTGTTAATCCTTTGTGTCCTTGCAGTGCTATTGCTGTGCTCTCTTTTTATTAGCTTCCCACACAAGTCTGCAGTTTTACTTCCTTTTTCTCAAAAGCTTTCAACAGAGTTAATTTATTTACCACTTTCTTACTTACATGTAAGTAAAAAAAAAAAAATCCCCAATTGTTAGAAATTTCAAATTGCAGCTATAGAAGTTTATAAGACCATGAGATCACTACAGTTCATGACAGTCATAACAAAGGCTCACCCTTTGTAATATATCTTGGGATAAAAACTCCATAAGCTTGTGGAAGCTGCTATCTTCTAGAAGCTCACTTAACCTACACTGTCTGAGATAGTTTCATTTACTGAAGTAGATAATTTTGTATTGTGTTTTTCTGGAAACATTTTTTTCTGGGGCCATTGTTTCAGAACAGAAAAAACTTTGAAGTCTTGGCAATGCAGCTTTAAAGAAGAACCCCGAGGCTCTGACAAGGGAAAGAAAATATATATGTATGTGTCTATATATCCCTAGAGGAAAAAGGTTGCTTTTATTATCAGAAGACTGATGTTTCTGACTACCTTAAGAGGTACTACACATGTTTTCTGATAGTAACTATTCTGCAATCATAAGGAATTATAACTAGTTTCTATCCCATAACAGCAGCAAAGGAACTGTAGGTCAGCTGCAGGAAGGAGTAGGAGCATTTGTGAGCACCAAGCCAACCTTGGTTCTAGTCTGGACCGAGACCAAATCCTCACCATGGTTAGTGTGTTGTGTAGCATTTTTCCATTAAAGGTCCTTCCTAGCTTTAAACTTGCCCTTTGTTGAAAGCTCCTCTGCCATGATAAGATAGAGGTCTTCATATTGTCCTGGAGGCTGAAGGATTTATAGATTACATGTGAAAGGCTCTGGATGGTAGAATTTTATGAGAGCCTGGAATTTCTGAATTATGAATCTTATGCTTATTTGGTGTTGGGTGACTGCTGTGGCTGGATGGCTGCCATGGGTATTCCTCTTAGATGGAAACCAAACTACCTTTTCTTCATGGCTCTGGGTAGATTTCTGTGGGAGGAGGAGTTGATCTGACCTCAAAGCAGAGCAATCAAAAAGGAGGAGTAGTTGTCTCTAGCATCTTAACATATCTCGTTAGTTTGCACCCAACTTTTTGGCCTTATCGAAGCTCTCGCTCCCATCTGCCGTCAACTCACTAGCTTGCAGTGCCATCTGCCCAGCAAGTCTGATTTGTAGCCTCTGCTCCAATGGCTTGCCTCATGTTTCAAAACGTTGCCATGACTCTGTGTCCTCCAGAACTCCAAGTAACGTTTCCAGAGCACTTGCAAGGTGGGGTGACTGGGTGGCATGATATTTCTCACCATGTGACTCCACTGGGTCATGTTAGGCTGTTACTCAACTGATCCAGATTCTTTGCTGTTGTGAACATTTTCAATTAATCCCTGTATATGGTACAGAAAATAGTTAAATTTCTTGCTGTGAATTAGAAATATCTGGGAATGTATTTCCATTATCTTCTGACACTAGTCAGTAAGTGGCCTTGAAACTGAAAGAGGCAGTGGTGTTTTCTGTCCAGCAGTTTGTCAACCATGGACAGTTCATGAGCTACACTGATTTTAAATAGCTGGCAATTTTGTTCAGGCACGCTCCTCCCATTGTTATCAGTGGGTGAAGATGAATTATGGATTGGGGGAAAGGCAGCGTTAGCAGTTCTCCCTGAGCCATGCTGCCTTTTTAGTTTGGAATTAAAGAGCACATTGTAGCAATGTTTTCTGTTCGTGCAGTAGCAGAGAAAGAATCAGTCCTCTACAGTGAAATAAAATGTGTTTCTCATTAGCATGTGTATGAGTCAGGATCAAAAGTCATTAAGTCTGTGTATATTTTACACTGTTGGTTATAACCTTGGGGACTCATGTAAGATGTGATGCATTGTAGAGAAACTATAGAAGTCTTAGACAGTTTTGTTAGTGTACTATAGAGAGGACAAGAGCCTCTTAGTTTTTCTACAAAAATCGATGATGTCTCAAAAAGTAATTTTCCAAAGGGATAGAAAAAGTTATTTCTTGTACACTTGTAGTAAAGACACTGTAGGAACCATCGATTTCCATCAGTTTTAACAAACACAGTGCTTATTTAAATACATAATTCTCAACATGCTGAATTGATGTATCCTTTTTCTTTCTTAATGCTTGTAGACACCTTAATATATAAGATCAGAAACTTAGTGTAATAAATTCTGGTGGAATATGTAATTTTGTGCTGATGTAAATTCTCTTTAAACAATGTGATAATATGTATTTCTTTTAAACAATGTGCTCATGATCTTCCCTAGATCAGCCTTCCATTTTGTAGCAGGGATAAATGCCTTAGACCTCTGCTTTTAAGGAGGTGGTATTAATAATTTCACTGTAAACCTTTGTTTCATGAACAGCCTAAATTAGTAGGCTCAGCATGACCTGCAAGTTCTCTTACTATGCATTCATACAATACCTAGCATAGAAAGACTATGCTCTCATTGAGGTAATATAGGCAATTACTGTGTTGTATTATGTTATTTGCAAATATTCCCCACTCGCCTATTAGTCAGACTTGCTGTCTGCCTTGATGCATAGAAAATGTGCAGCTGTTGCAGTATGATAGAATTACTGATAGCCCATATATGTTGATTTAAAATGTTTTGTTACTTCAGTGTCTTATGCCCTCAAAGACCAGGAAAATTACCTGCCTTAAGCATCCTTTTCTTGTGTTGATCTAAAAGGAAATGAAAATGAGGAAAGGTTTAAGAAAAAATTTCGTAGTTGCTTTATGCATATG